ATATATATATATATATATATATTTACACCCATAGATTGTTTCTCTTCATTTGAGCTCTTTCTTTTTTTATTATTATTTTTCTATATATTCTTTTTTCTATTTAGAGAGTTTATAATTAAACATAGAAAGAGAGATAAGTCTGGTTTGGATCAAAAGTAGGTGAAATTGTAGTTTTTATTGTTGCCCTCATTTTTTTTTTTTAACCTCGGGTTAATCATGGACTTGCACATGCAATTAAAGGATTGCCTAATTTTCAATTTTAACCTCTTTTTCTTGATTGTTAATTGATTATAAAAGGTAAAATGTTCCTCCTATGTATATATATATTTGTGAGTTTGAAGGGTGTAAAATGAAAAGTTTTAACATGGGAGAATATGACTTTAGGGTAGGCTACAAATGCCATTTTTCTATAATCATATTTCAACACCCCCTCCCCCATTTATGATATGCAATGAGATAAATCAAATAATCATAAGATACAATGAAACTCTTGTTTGATCGTATTTTGCACTAAATAAATCAAATCACAAAACACTTTCTAACAGCGACAAAATTATTTTTTTTATCCATTGTCTTCTGCAAGGAATAATGTGTAAGAGAATGTCTATTTCACATAATGTGATGAAAGGTTTTAGAGTAAATAGATTTTTTTTATCGACAGTTGGAATTATTCTTCCATATTTTTAGGGAACTTAATCAAGAGTTGCAACTCTTCAATTGTATTGATTTGTTCAATCAATTTTTTTTTCATTGAATTCACATATTTTTAAAACTAAATAAGTGTTATTTGCAATTTTTAAAAGTGAAAAAACACCTTATAAAAGATTAATACTTAATCGAAAGAAAATTAGTTATTACTATTAAAAGCTGTCAAATTTAAATGAAGATATTCGAATTCTCAATTACTTTTTCAAGTTTGGCATTCGAATGCCCAACCAAAGATATTTGAATGCTTTTATATAAAATCATCAGAAGACTTTTAGACTAGACATCAATTGGGCATTCGAATACTTTAATATAAATTAAAAAAAATGTTATTTTTTACATAAAATTTAAATTCCACGAATGAGCATTCAAATGCCTTATATTAAAGTTTCTCCGATCGATATTTCATGTTTAAAATCGTTTTTCTTGATTTGAAACCTTTCCAAGACTGTCGTATATAAATTACTAGCTTCTCGTTCCATTCATTAATACATCATATTTAATCATTTGAGATTCATTTTTCAAAAATATTCCAACAAGTATAAGACTCTCCATCAAATAACATTACCATAAGCTAAAATGCAAATAATAAATGAAAAAAGCACAGATAATATAGTACAAAAATAAATACCATTATTTATACATTAAAGTCCATTCAAAGATAAATTGAATTTTTAAATTTTTGAAGAACTTATGAATTATCTTTTTTATGCTAGTATTTTGTAAATACTTCTTCAAGGAAATTTTTTTTTTAGTGGGTAGAAAAAAAATGCATTTTAAATGTGGACTTCTAAACAAAATCATCACACAACTCAAAAAGGAAAATAAATAGAGAAACAAAAAAGTTGACCATTGCCATGTGTATAGGCTACATGCCATTTTTCATTAGAAAATTAGAAATATGTAGACCTTAAAGAGCCCATTTTGATTATTTAAATGGATTCAATTCTTAAGTATTAACAAAACTTGAAATTCATATCACATGATTCATATGCAAACGGAACCAAGTCTAATGTGGTGAGAAGAAAGAAATTAAATAATGTGTGTTTGACCAAAACAAAATTTAAGAGAAATAAATTATTAATATAGGGTATATTTATATTTTCATTTAAAATTTTCCATATTCTCATAAAAGAAATTATCAAATACAGACCAACAAATCTTTAAAATTGATAGAGATGAGAAAAAAATTGAGAAAATTAAAAAATTGATTTGAAATTGTAATATTAGATTTGATTATGATCGATTTTTTTTTATTTGATTTAGATCAAGTTTGGATATTAAATATATATATACTAAGTTCGGATCAGATTTCGAATCAACATGTGAAAAATCGAAAGAACTGAATCGAATTATATATTTTTATTAATTTATATATATATTTTTAAGTTTTTATAAAATAAAATAATTATTTTATTTAAAAATTTATTTAAATATATTTAAATTTTTATTAAAATAATATAAAAATAAAAATTTTAAATTTTAAAGATCGATGAATCAAATCAAATTAAAAGAATTTAGTTCTAATCGATTTTAAAAAAATCAATTCAAATTAAAATCATATTTTAAAAATTTATAATAATATACATTATTCAAAAAATTAAATCAAATTCAATCCACTCTATCATCTTTCCTAAAAATTAGGGAGAAAAAAAAATGACAAAAGCATTTGAATATATAAGTACGGAACGGTAGTGTGCAAAAGGAGTATGGGTAGGTTCATCACCAAAATTTGCCATTGAAAAGTATGGCTAATGGTAACGTGTTAGGCAATGGGGAAAGATGAGTGGCTGAGCGCCGAGGATTGAGGGCTGGTCTACGAACCAACTTTATCATCAATGCACAAATAGACAAAACAGCCGCCCAATTGACTGCCCATCAATATTACAAAGAGAAATAGTGGCAAATCCACACGAACGAGGAACCAACAAATTAAGAAGTAAATGAAATTTGTAGGAAAAAAAAAAAAAGGCAAGAAAAAGAGGAGAGGTGCGTGCGAAAGGGTTGTTAGCACCAAAGCTTTGACTCAAAGCAAACGACTCTGCCACCTCCACCAAACCCGGTATTTATTTATTTATTTCTATTTGATAATCCTCTACGACTTTTCATTATTAAACACCATAAATTAACCTTACCTACAATATATATATATATATATAATTATCTCATATATCGTTAATAAAGTTTTTATTATACAATTATGATTAAAAATTAATTTTACTTTTAGTGAATAAAAAATTAACCCATATATATAAGTAAAGGGAGGAGATTTTATTAGCATTCAAAATTTAAAATTTAACTTGTACCACCACTTCAATAATACTTCATGAGAAATATTTAAATGTGCTAGTGAAGTTAGATAGAGGTACATTATCATTTTGTACTGTAATTAACATAAAAAAACATAGCTGAAGATATAACAATTTGTAACAATTATCTTTCATTAAAAAATGTGATAGTATGAATTAGAGATTTAATTCAATTGATTTGTATAATTATTTAAAAAATAATATTTAATAAAATTTAAAATTCATATTCTAACACTTATGATTCAGTCCTCTATCTCTATCTTAACCAAAGTTATTTATAAAAAAAAAAAGAGTAAGAATATATATGCAATAATTGTGTTATTTTATATAAGAATTTATATATTGATTATTGAAATTAAAAATTTAGTATTCCATCAACTAATTACTAATTACATGATTATTGACATTTTAATATTTTATCAACGTATCACATCCCTAAATTTCTTTTTATATGTATATTTTTTAATGTTGAGAAATGTAGGGCATTGTATATTATATTTTTTTATAACCATGATTAGTTGTTGAGCTAAGATTGTAGGAGTGCATATAATGCTTGTTCTTTAGAAAATATAAAATTAACGTTTGGTCAAAAAGGTTGCCCGCCAATGATCTGGCAGTGCCAGATTTCTTAATAACCTTTTGGTTAAGATAAACTTCCTTAAATTTTTTTTGTCTTTTATTTTTATTCCTCTTTTTTCATTCATTTGAGTGGAAAATTTTCAAGTGTGAATGTTACGTTGGAGAAAGTTTAAGGGGTTGAGGTTATGACCTTTCAACCCTTAACAGACTTGCTCAAATATGGAATCCAAGCTGAAAACTATTACTTAAGTGATTAAAAAAATTAGGAAATTGTAAAAAAAAAAAAAGTTTTTACCATGGTTGGTAGGAGAGAAATTTCGAATGCAAATATTATATTAGAAGTAAAAAAAAAAACTTTTTTATGGAAGATGTATTTCTATCTAACCATATAATTAATTTTTTTTTCAAAGTTGCTCATTTTTAATTATTTCAATCCAAACATAACAAAGTCTCTTATTTATTAAATTTAAAATTTAATTCAATTAATTCATATAATTATTTTAAGATATAATATTTAATAAATCTGAAATTTAAATTTTAAAACTTGATTTTTTTTTAGGCCGTTACTTCTTTGTACCAAAAAACAAAAATCACTTACCAATAAAATAACTTTGCATTGAAATTAGAAAAAAAAAAAAAAAAGGGATGATAAAATCATGAAAGGTAAATAAACAACTGAAAATTGAATCAATCATCTCTACTAAATGCAATTAATTTCATGCTCAAAGCAGTTGTAGCTCCTTAATCCGGACACCAACTCCCTATAGATTTTTTTCCTCTTTTCTACAATGCTTGCCCAATCCACCAACCTCTTACCAACTCTCCATTTGCCTCACAAATACATAAACCAACCAGAGTTGGTGGATCCCACCACTATCATTCCAATCAAAATTCTTCTAATAGCAACTTTGAATTAACTTTTCATAGGAAAAGAAAAATATCCATGAAAATTAAGCTGTTATGCTCTAATTACTTTTTGATTTGTGGTTAAATTATTCACAAATTTTGTTTAGGTATGGTAATTTTATAACTAAATATCAATTTGACTTAAAATGAAATAAGAACTTAAATGGTGCCAATCCTTTATAAATGTTAAAGCAATGATCTATGTTAAGACTCTCTTTAACCCAATAAGTAAATTAGGGTTAAAATTATTTTACAAGTTTGGTGAGATGGTAAAGGTTAAGAAAGAAAAGTGATTTTCATAATTCATGGATTGACCTTATCATCACGTCATGACTTATTGGCCTACTTTCGATCCATGCCACAGTGAGGGTAAGAATGGGTCCCATTTCATACTCGTGCAATTTTGGGACTTCACCAACCACCAACCGGGTTGGCAGGCGGTCCAACCACCTAAAGTCTCGGTCCAACCCGGATTTTCAACTTCCATATAAACCCTTTGCATTTCCTCTTTCAACTCAGGTTTCCTTTCAAAGGCAATCGAAATCGCAGGCACAGAAAAACAGGAAAGCAAAGAAAGAACCTTTGAAGATTTGTAGCAATGGCAACCAATAAACAAGAGCAGCAATCTCAGGCTGGTAGGCACCAGGAAGTTGGCCACAAGAGCCTTTTGCAAAGTGATGCTCTTTACCAGGTATCATCTTTAAGCTTCCAATTATATTATTATTTGATTATTTTGAATGTTTAATTTCATTTTGAATCGATATTTTGACATTAGTTTTTGATTCTATAAATGGGATTTTGGTTTTGCAGTATATCCTTGAGACCAGTGTGTATCCAAGGGAGCCTGAACCCATGAAGGAGCTCAGGGAGTTGACTGCCAAGCACCCATGGTTCGTTTCTAATTGATTCAGATTCTCAAATTCTTTTCTTTCTTTTTTTTTTTGGTTTGAGATTTTAATTATTGTTGATTTGATTGGAAACAGGAACCTTATGACTACATCAGCCGATGAAGGCCAATTTTTGAACATGCTTCTTAAGTTGATCAATGCCAAGAACACCATGGAGATTGGTGTCTACACTGGCTATTCTCTCTTATCCACCGCCCTTGCTCTCCCCGATGATGGAAAGGTAGTTAATGATTTAAAAGACAAAAAAGAAAAAAAGATCTTAAGATCTTATCTTAAGATATACACAAAAAAAGAATAAACCTTAAAAGACGAGAAACTCATTGAACTCTTTTTTTTTTTTTTATGTTTCCAGATCTTAGCCATGGATATTAACAAAGAAAACTATGAGTTGGGTCTGCCTGTTATTCAAAAGGCTGGTGTTGCGCACAAAATTGATTTCAGAGAGGGTCCTGCTATGCCAGTTCTTGATAAATTAGTCGAAGATGTAAATTTCACCAACCCCAACCATGTTTTTTCTTTTTCGTCAGAAATTGGTAATAATTGAGTTATATTCTATATTGAAAAATTGGCAGGAAAAGAATCACGGATCCTTTGACTTCATCTTTGTGGATGCTGATAAGGACAACTACTTAAACTACCACAAGAGGCTAATTGAGCTGGTGAAAGTAGGTGGTTTGATCGGCTACGACAATACCCTGTGGAATGGGTCGGTGGTAGCACCACCTGATGCTCCTCTCAGGAAGTACGTCAGGTATTACAGAGACTTTGTTTTGGAACTCAACAAGGCTCTTGCTGTTGACCCCAGGATTGAGATCTGCATGCTCCCCGTCGGTGATGGAATCACCCTTTGCCGTCGGCTCAAATGAACCACCACCACCCAACATTGACCTAACGTCTCTCGTTCGGCACAAAAAATTTGACATTAATATCTTATGTATTTTCAATTTTCAACTCCCCCTTCCCTTTTTAATTTCGAGAATCTTTATTTGTGTATTTTCAAATCACAATTATTTTCTCAATCTATGAATATTCGAGTTAAAATAATATTTTCAGAAATATTTGTACTTATTCAATTTTATCTTATTTGCATTTCAGGATTATTTGTCTTCAATGCTTTGCAAATTTTCTTATTTAAAGCAGTTGAGATCTGAGTTTTGATTATTAATTCAGCGGAAAACTTTCTTTTACACCTTATAGTTTAGATTCTAAGCAAGTTATAATTAGATAAGAAGCTTTTTACAATTAAGAAACATTTTCACAACTAGCAGGTAATGTTTAGGTGCACCTGATCGATGCATAGGTTTCACTATAAAATTTGAAAGAGTAAGCAGAAAACAAACATTATAAAAAAAAAAAAAAAAAAAAACAAACAGATCTCAAATTTTAAGAAAGACTCAAATTGTCAACAACGCGTAAGGCTTTCTTCATAAGTCGGTGATCGATAAAAAATGATTCTTACTTGTCATTTTATACGGTAAATGTTTTGAGGCAGGACCTTCTAGGTATTAATTTATGAAACACAACGACTACATGACAGCGTATTAGCGTATAAACTTTCTTAATTAATCTCTAAATTGGACAAATAACCATCATATTTCATTCTTTATATTCAAATTGAATTGAATTAATTTTTAAAGATAAAAATTCTTTTAAAGGTCAACAATTTTTTATTTTCTTGATTGGGTTTTAATTTTTTATTTAAAATTATTAAGAACGAATATTGATTACTCAATCTAAAAATCCCATGTTCAAATTGAATTGAATTAATTTTAAAAAATAAACAAATCCTTTAAAGATTAAATTTCATTTTCAATATGAGATTTTTTTTTTATTTAAGATTATTAAAGATTAAATCGTTTAAATTAAGAAGTATTCTGCTAGCAGAAGATTATACTATTAATAGCTGATTTTTGGTTCGTATGTTGCTTTGTTCTATTCGATAAAATTACCCGATTACCAATTTTCCACCCACCAAACTTTATCTCACTTCCAGTCTCGGGTCTTTAACCACTTTTGCTTAATATGCATGTTCAAGGCATACAGGTGTGGTGAGTGAACGATTGTATTGTTATGTGATTATTTTACCACTGATCAAGATTATAAAGGGTGAAAACAGAAGACAACAAGGGTAAAAACCATGAGACTTAGGCTCCGTTTGGATTCACTCACAGTATCAGTGCGAGAAGAATTTTTATTTTTTTGGTACAATCGCACCATTTCATTTCGTTTGGATGTCCACTAGTGCAGTGTGATTCCACTACACTGGAGCAATAATTTTTCACCGGTAAAAAATGATTCAGTGAGCCATTGAACTGGACCCTTTACTATAATATCATTATTTTTTTAGTTTGTATTTATATTTAAATTAATTAATGTTTTATATTTTACTTGTTTAATATCATTTTGTTAAATTTTAATTGATATAAATATATTATTATCAATTTTAAAAATATATATTATTTGACATAAAAATAACTTTTAATAATTTATTAATTTTATAAATCTAAAATAATTTAAAACTTTTATTATATATAAATTTTAATTTAATGTCTTTAATAATAATTTTTTTATTTCATTACAATTCACATTTTTATTATTGCTACATTTACATTCAAACACATATTTTATTTTAAATTTTAATTTTATTATTATAATAACTAAATTCATTGCTATTATTGTCATCGATCTTATTAAAATTAATCTCATCATTTATCTATACGAACCTTGAAATATAGAAAAAGACAGAAGTTAGAAAAGGAGAGGCCATAGCACCACAGGATAAAGCTTTTCAGGCTTTACCCATGTTGGAAAGAGGGTGCCGCACCAGCATTTCTGGTCCAGAGACATGGTCTAATTGGCAAAATGTTCAATTTTATCCTCAACGTTTGATGGGTTGCTAAAATCAGAATCTACCTTTTTAATTTTAACAAATAAGGACTTAATGTATTCAAATATAACAATTAAAAACTTAGATGGAATTTGGTGAGTGTATAATATGCTCCGTTAATTTTGTCAAATGACTAATATTTTTGCTAAATAAGCTGACAAATAAGATAATTACGTGTAAAAATTTTTGAAAATATTATAAAAAATTTTAAATTTTCTTAAAAATCTTCGAAGTTAATATCTTTAAAACACTTAAACTAAAACAAAATAAATAAAAATTATCAATTTGATAAAAATAAAAAATACCCATAAATTGAAAACTGAAAACAAAAAAACCCAAAAAGAAATTCTTCGCAAAAATTAATGTTAAAATACTTGGATTAAGAAAAAAATTGAATTTGAAACCCTAATTGAAAACTTAAATGACAAAAAAAGCACAATCATGAAACCTTTAAGAAGTGGGTACCATACAAAACACAAATAAAGGGTTTAAGCGAAAAAATATCACATAATCAATAAAGAAACTAAGTTTTTCGTGGACAACTCAATTGGTTTGAGGTTTGCAAAGAAATTAAACAAAGAAAAATTTAGAAAATTTGGAAATTTTGTTTTAATGGGTAAAATTGTTAGGGGCAAGAAAATTTATTTCGGGGAAAAATTTGAGAATAAAGGGGAAGGAGAGGTTGATGGGTATGAGAGAAGGATTGCAATCAGTGTGAATTACAGAATTAAAAAGAGACAGTGAAAAAGGGTTTATTTCTCTTTTTTTTTTGTTAATAACTTTTTATTTGATAATAATTTTTTTACCGAATACTCAACAAAATCCAAATAAACATTAAAGTACTAAATCAGCTGATTTTTAATATTTTCACCTGTTATTACTGTATGTATCATTCACGACATAACTTTTGTTGAAATATATTCTATATTATTATAAGTTAATAACATTTAATTTTTATTTATATAAATTAAAATATTTAATTTTAAATTAAATAATTAGTCAAATATTTAATTTCAAATAAAGCATTTAGTCCATCTAATTGGAGGAGTGATGCCTGCGAATTTCAAAAACAAAATCGTGTAAGCATTAATCAAAGATTCAATGCCGCATGATTTACACGTGTCACTGTCTTGTCTTTCAAGGGTTGTCCCTGAGAAAGTACAACTACAAATAGGCAATTGCGTTTTGAGTTAGCACTGCCGTGAATTAATTTATATACGACTTGTCAAATATATAAGTTTGGTGATTAATAAATTTTCAATTGAATTTATGTTCTTTTTTTTTTCTTCTTTAATAAGGAAGAAAGTCAGAGAGGAATGATTCCAACCTTAAAATTTGACATTCCTAAAAAACGATAATAACTATTAAGTTAAAACTAAATTGGTAGAATTATGAAGTTAGGAAAGCTACCGGACTTTATCAAAATTCAAATTAAAGACCATATCTAGCATCTAATGATTAATTCGAAAAAATATCAATACATAAACAAGTTCTGAGACTATGATCTAAGAATTTCAGAATTTAAACATGTATTTTATAGGAAAAATGACACTATGTAACCCATGATGAATGGAGTGCTAATATTTACGTTCATTTTAAAATACGGACCACACGAAAATTGAGCGGCCTCTTAAAGTTAAAGATTAGGATGATTAAATACTCAATTGAAAAGATATATAATTTTTAATTTGAGCTAAATCATGATCGAATTTATTCAAATAAAAACTTTTTGAGGAGATTGAATATCACGAACCATTAACAGACACCATTTAGTCATCCAATATAGGCGGAAAGGAGTAATCAACCACCGATCACCGTCATCCATTCGCACAACCACTCTTTTAAAACCTCGCCGTCCAACTAGGACACGATGCACTGATTACATTCTTTAATTGAGATCAGAGAGTACTAAATATTGTGTTTTTGTTTTTTTTTTTTTTTTGGTTTGTTTGTTCATATCTGTCTAAGTCGTTTATCCACCAGCAATCTTACCAGGGCATCCATCTAATAAGACAAATAAGACATACACTCGTACGGTTTTAACATGCACATACAATCATACAAATAAGACATTCTTTAATAGACATACACTTTTCATAAATAAGACAAATAATACTCGTTTAAGTCGTTTGAATATTACTATTTTCAAGTCTACATACACTCATACAAATAAGACATCCACCTCCTCACATGCACAGGATATCACCTTAATAAAAATTCCAGGATTTTTAACGCTAGGATATTAGTTTTAGAAAAATCTAAAATCTCAAAAATCAAGGCTAATAAGTTTAAGGTTAATAAGACCTCAAACAAAAGCATACCATAGACATAGACGACAGCACCAACTGAATGACAATACCACAACATGAAGATGTATAATCGTCATTGCCAACAGAGTTCCACCACCACCACCAGTCAACAAAGTTAACAAGGGAATAGTGCAATATGAGGAACAGAAAATTAAAAGACAAAACTCTACAATTAATTACTCACTCTCACTTGTTCACAGATCTTAAAAGTTAAAACCCATATCAAACTCTTCATTGTTCAAAAGCTCATATACATTCTCTATAATACTATATGTTCATATGTAATGAAAACAGTTTATTAAAAACATAACTAAAGTAACCAAGCCGAAACAAGTTGAGCCTGAGTGTAGAAAATGTAACTGACTTGAGCTCAAACTTGATATTTATACTAACCATTTGATACACCTCTATTTAAGACCATTTCCTTCATTGAAATATGTGTTCCCACCATGTCTTAGGCTTTGCTTTGTAAGAAGGTTGGAAAACTTATTAATCTAATGGTTAAAATTCATAACCACCTTTCTATTTTATAGCTTAACCATCATATTAATAAGTTTTCCATCTTCTCTACCTAGCAAAGCCTTAGTCTCTGGCAAGTCATATCACTTTCCACTCAGTAAATCTTTAATTTCATCATATTCTAAATGTAGCACAAGAACTCACCAAAGAATAACAAATATATAAAATAAAAAAAGATTGCTTAAACTAAATCAAACAACAAAAGCCAAATCATTTCATAAGCACAGGACAAAAGAATCCAACAAAACGACGACAATTAAAGGTATGTATCCATAATAATAAGGCTGCAAAGAAGAAAATTCTGAGGATCCAATGAATAGAACTATCATCACACCAAATCTTCCATTTCAAAATTCTTTCCTGACACTTTACCATCACCACTATTACATAAGAATGGTTCTTAATATTATTGAAATTAAAATTTGATTGTTACTTTTATTATGAAGCACCTTTAATTAAAAAAAGGGTCTAAGAGCAATCGAAGGTATAACTAAACCCCAAAGTTAAAGTAATAAAGAAAAAGAGTAAGAAACTATACAATAATAGCAAAAACGAAAAATTTTAATTTTTCCTTTCATGTCCACAATATGTCTGCCAAGACTTAAAAACAAATACAACCTAAAGCTATGTATCGCAAGTAAATGAGATATTGTACAGCCTATCATATGGTTTCAAACACTTTCCCTTCACACCAAATGCAGTATAATTCCTAACAATAAACATTAAACTACACGAAGTCGGTAATAATGGCTTCCAAACAAACATGGCATCATACTCATAGCAGTAACTTAGTACAATATAAATTTTACTAAGTGGATAAATAATAAACCTCAAATCACCATTAGTCAAACAAAATTAAAACACCAAAATGTACAAACAAGCTATGGCAAGTGGTCTAAAACACATCTAAAAGTTATTAACATTATACTGAGACATAAATAATTATCAAAGAGTAGCTAAACAAAACAACTTTAAACTAAACCTAAATAATCATAGAATAGCCAATAAAACACGAAAAGCAGCATGAATATATCAAATAAGAAAGCCGCAATAATCTTAGGCGTATATCTAACGATTTACGCAATGACTCTAAATTAAGAATAGAGCACAACAAACATTTAAAATTCTGAAAATGAGTAATAGCTAATTCAATCCACATAACAAAACTTAATTCAAAATGAACAAAACCATATTATCTCTTGAAAAAGAACAAAACCCAGTTTCCCAAAACAAAACATGAAATTTCTTCAACGGTAACTCTTCTGGAACCTTGCCCTAGCACCTCTTCCACCGAACTTCTTGGGCTCGCATCTCCTTGGATCAGCCACCAGCAAAGTCCTATCGTACCTGACCAAAATATCCTTAATCTCCTTTTTGCTTTGCTCATCAACGTACTTTTGGTAAAAAGCGACGAGGGCTTTAGCAATGCTTTGACGGATAGCATAGATCTGAGAAGTGTGGCCTCCGCCTTTGACTCGGATCCTCATGTCAACGCCAGCGAAACGCTGGCGGCCGAGAAGGAGGATTGGCTCAACAGCCTTGAAACGGAGGATCTCGGGTTCAACAAGTTCGATGGGACAGCCATTGATCTTGATCAGGCCACGACCTCTCTTGCAGTAGGTTACAGCCACCGCTGTCTTTTTGCGGCCGAAGCATTGAACGGACTCGACCGGAGCTCTTTCCGCCATGTGTTTTGTTTAGGGTTTCGCTCTTCGCTGAAAATGAGGAAAATGAGGTCGGCGTAAATAGATTTTATATAAGAAGTGGGGTTAGGGTTTTTGATAGGGTTGGACGGTGCGTTTTGGGATTGCCATATTTTTTTCTGGGGTACAATGGGCCGGGGTTAATAACATTTTAAGGCCTGCTCCATTTTGGAGACTGGACTAGATACAATTTCGGGCCAGGCTTAAAGTCCAAAATCTTCATACTGCCATATTCATATCAGAATATAAAACTGTGATTGGTTATAGAAAATATATTTATTTTTTATTTTATAAAAAATGTGTTCGTTAAATGAAAAATTAAAATATGAAAATGTGTTTGATATTGTGTTTTGTGTTTAGAAAATAAAAAATAAAATTATGAATTTATTCATGGGCCATAGAACAAAGAATCCATCATTGTGGCCATAAAAATGTTTCGTCCAATTATATTAATACACGTGGATATTTAGAAGAATGAGACCATATTGCTAGAGTGAAAAGCTTTGTACAATTGTTTTTTTGTTGGTCTCGTGTTCTAGACTAGATTAGCGAGTGGAATTCACCTAAATCGTGTTTTCATATTTTCCCTCGTATCTGTTCAATATGCCAGAAAACATTGAAAACAATTTTTTTATTCTTAAAATTGGATGGTTTTTCATTTTCATTTTCTAAAAAATATTTTCTTTAAATATCTACCAAACATGTTTTCACTTATACTTTTTATTTTTTTTCATGAAAATAAAACACAGGAAAGGCTTATGTTTTCTTAAACAAAAGGCATCCTAAGTTTTATCTAATGTGAGTTTTAGGTTTTTTCTTTTTTTTTTCCTCATCCAAAGTACTTGTATGTTTCTTTTTAATGTAGTGCTCATTGTTTATGGCTATCTATGCTTTGAATAAGGTTGAATAAAATAGTAAATCAATAAATAAATTGTTTTCCTTTATTATCATTTTATGTACCCTTGATTTTTTAAAATATGTAATTTTTTTTTTTAATTTAGAGGTAAAGAGTTTCTGAACTTTTCATAATTCATTCTTTTTACGGGTTGATCCAAGGAAAGTTGGTCCATCTCTTTGCATACGTATCGTATAAGACTATTAGTAAAAATTACAAATCTAACTATGACCTGACATTCTCTTTAAAAAGAATAAGATCATAAAGATAAAAAACAAATTTATCATTATAGAATACTAAATTTTAATTTCGTAATTTAATTTCATTACATTTTATTATTGTACATTCAACTTTAATTATTTTTAATAAAAATTCACGAAAACAAGCATTCATTTAATCATTTATCCGTTACTTTTTGAACCAAAGCCAACGGCCACGAATCTTACCACGTCTAAAAAAACCATCTTAAATTGTGAGATATTCAAGTATACCTACGTTGGCTGCATTCAGTAAAGAATAAAACAAAATTTCCCACCTATACTATACATAAAAAAAAAAAAAAAGACTTGAATGATTGATCCATGTCTTCACATGCTCATGAATCACGCGTCACCTTTAAAATTCTCGGATTTTAAATAAACTAATACCCGCTAGGCGATGGGTATCAGCGGAAACTACGCGAAAATCTAATATCTAGAAAACCCAGGAGAATAAACGAGGAAAGCTCCAAATGCGCATACCCCAAGAAGACCATATGCAATCTTCATTGACTACAGAGTTCCACCAGGCTAAAAGGTGAGCTCAAGCAAATCAAATACTCGATCAAAGGATCTTAATACTCGGCTTGAGCACATCTCTTCATTCTTCAAAATCTCATATATTTGTATAATACTAAATGTTTACATATAAAACAAAAATGTAATAAATATTACTCTTAAGGGCTTAACTGGTGCCATTTTCCTAACCAAGGATCCATTTGGCAGCATGATAGATAGGAGTAACTCCCATGGCGCTGTGGGAATCCGTACTACTGAACCCTAAATCAATCAATAACATATGACCTAAAATCCAACAAAATCACAACCATTAAAACTATGTATCCACAATAAGACTACAAAGTACAAATTATTACAAAGGATCAATGAGTAGAACTATAATCACACCGAATCTTCCCTTTCAACATTCTTTCCTGACACCATACCATCACCGCTATAACATGAAGATTTCTTGTATTATCGAAATTAAAATTTGATTGTTACTTGAATTGTGAAGAACCATTCATTTAAAAAAACCACCTAGGAGAAAACCTAGGAATGTAAAATTAAACCAACAACAAGAGTAAGAAACTATACATATATAACATGATGAAGAAATTGAATTTTTCCCTTCATGCCCACAATATTTCTACCCAGACATGGAAACAAACACAACCTAAAGCTATGCATTGCAAGAGTAACGAATATAATGTCATCCTGCAATAGAGTAAATGAGCCTAACCCTTGATTCCAAAAACTTTCCTAAACACCAATAGACATAAACTATAAATATTAATTTACAGAAGCCAGTAATCTTAGCTTCATACCAAACAGGGAAAGAGTAATAACAGCAAATCTGATATTAAGTATGCTAAATTGACAAATCTCAAACCACCACTAATTAATCAATGTTAACATTCCAAAATGTATCTACAAGCAATAACAAATGGTCTAAACACATCTCAAAGTCAAAACACTTTTCCAAGTCATTAACATTGTACAAAGGCTTTGTTTGGTAGGAAAGATAGAAAGAGGTGAAGATGAAAAACTTGTTAATCTAATGTTAAGCTGCAAAGAAGGAAAGCAGTTATGAATTTTAACCTTTAGATTAAAAAATTTTTCATTCTCTCCTCTTTCCATCCTTTCTATCCAGCAAAGCCTAAGTGTTCATTAGGTAGCTTGGTGGTAATGACTCCCACCGCACGGTTTTATGACTGGACGCTAAACTATAACCACTATAAAAGAATACTAAATAATCATTGAATAGCCACAGAAAACACGAAAAGCAGCACGAATATATCAAATAAAAAACTCAATAACCTTATAAGTATGTCTATGAGATTTATGCAATGAGTCTAAATCAACATTAAAGGAAAACAAGCTTTTAAAATTCTGAAATTCAGTCATAGCTAATTTTACCCAACGTAACAAAACATAATTCAAAATGAACATAACCATACTATTCTTAAAGAACAACAAAACCCAGATTTTCAAACAAACCAGAAAATTTCTTCAACGGTAACTCTTTTGGAACCTTGCCCTAGCACCTCTTCCACCGAATTTCTTGGGCTCGCACCTCCTCGGATCAGCCACCAGCAAAGTCCTATCGTACCTGACCAAAATATCCTTAATCTCCTTCTTGCTTTGCTCATCGACGTACTTCTGGTAAAAAGCGACCAGAGCTTTAGCAATGCTTTGACGGATAGCATAGATCTGAGAAGTGTGACCTCCGCCTTTGACTCGGATCCTCATGTCAACGCCAGCGAAACGTTGGCGGCCAAGGAGGAGGATTGGCTCGACAGCCTTGAAACGGAGAATCTCGGGCTCAACGAGCTCGATGGGACAGCCATTGATCTTTATCAGACCACGGCCTCTCTTGCAGTAAGTTACGGCCACCGCTGTCTTCTTGCGGCCGAAGCATTGCACAGACTCGACCGGAGCTCTCTCCGCCATCGTTTTCTGTTTTGGATTTCGAAGAATTGAGGCGATTGCTCTTTGCTTAAAGTAAAAACCCGAAGAAAAATGTGCGGCGTTAAGAGGTTTATATGAAGGTTGGGACAATTAGGGTTTTTAAATGACTAAACGGTGCGTTTATAAGTCCAAGGACTTCTTTTTGGGTTATAATAAGGCCAGGTTTAGTAACATTTTAACGTCTGATCCAATTTAGGAGATTGGACCGGATTTATATTTGGTTCAGGCCTAAAGTCCAATGTGCATGAGTATTTTTTAAGTATTTTTTAATGCATTTAAAAAAATAGTATTTTTTTAATGATATTTGAATTATTTACAATATGTGTATAAATACTTATTTATCAATTAATATGATTAATATATTAAAAAATTGGATATAATATACTTGCCCAATTAATTTATAAATATGATTAATACGTTAAAAAAATATATTAATCTTTTAACATTTACAAATATATTTTAGATTAAAATTAAATATACTTATTCATCAATAAAATAATATCATGGATCAGGTCTGGACCTAAAACATTCTAAACGAAACATGTCAATAAATGGGCAGCGATGGTGCTAAATTAGCAATTGAAGTGGCTATGAATAGCTATAGTTTTTGGGCTAGGTTTTGAGCAAAATCATTGATTAATGCTTTTTTTTTTTTAAGATGTAAATGATATATTAATATTTATAAATTATTTAAATTTGATTAGAATAAAATTTATATTTTATTTGATTATTATCAAGTTGAGTTTGAGCTCAAATAATTTGATTAATCAATTAAATCGAGTTTGAGTATTCTTTACATGATTTAAGTAGCTCAAACGAATTAATTAAAATTTTATATTTAAATATATTTTTATTATTTTAATTAATAAAATATATTTGAATTCGAATTCGAACACAAATAATCAAGCTTTTGTTGAATATAAAAATCAACTTATTTTTTCATGTTAATTAAAGTCTAATCGAATGAGTTCGAATAGCTTGATTTTATCTCGAGTCAAATTCGAATTATAAATATAAAATTCGATTGAGTTTAAACCGAGTTTTGAACTTCGAATTTCAAATCAAATTTAAGTTCGAACTTAATAATATATCGATTTGAATTTGATCGATTACATTTTTATTTCCCCCTGTTATTATCATTTTTTTTCTTGTTTCATGTTATATTTTAAGTGTATTTCACTTATAATTTTTTTAATTACATTAAATAATTATATTATAATTTATTATTTATAAGTATGAATTTTATATAAAATTTTAATAAATTTTATATAATTTTAAATTATAATTAATTAATTATAATATAACGATAATTAAATAATATGTTTTCATAAATTATTAGTATTTTTATCACATACGTTAGTAATTTTATATAATATGATAATATTATTTTGGTGTAAAATAATCCATTGTTATGGGCATATAACCAGAATACATATGGTAGCAATGAATTGAGGAAAAGCAGGAAATTGGTGGAAATGATGGTGGAATCGACAAAATAACCAAAAAAAAAAAAAAAAGAAGAAAAGGAAGAAATGGTGTGTTACTGTACCTGTCTTTCTCACAATAAATCATTGGGGCTGCAGGCACATGGAATCATGAACTTTGCTTGTACAACTCTCATAAATTATGAGTCATAATCATAGGTTTATTAGTTTTAATTTTCTGGACTCAATTCACACGGTTGATTTAAGTGCCGCCCCCATCAACGCGGTGCTTTTAATGCTTTACTGGTTGTTGATGATGACGACGACGTTTCGTGGAGTAGGACTGTTGAATTCCAATACTCTGGATTTTTTAAAACATGAATCTAAAGGGAAAAAAAATTATATTATATAGTTTTTGGTATTAAATATTGTTACGACCGCAAAGAAAAGAACAAGTTTGATCCAAGTTGTGTTGTGTGACTGAGAATATGTTCTTCTGCAGATCAAAACCGATGACTTTTCAGTTCTTTACCTTACTGAAGAAATTGTATCAATTTTTTTCTTTGTCTACTGAGAACCCAAATCACGCCAACGATTGCGATGTTTGCCAAAATGTCATGGTGCGACAACCATAAATCTAATGGACTCGCGAATCTTTCTCTGATCTCCACGCTTGTACGTATTCAGAAAACGACAGGACGGTTGCCTACGTCCCCTATATAGCTATAATGACAAAAAAGGCAAGAAAAAAAAAACCCAAATATATGATCAAAATAAAAAAGTTAATGTGGACCCAAAATTTAAAATTTATAAGTAGACAGAGTGTTTCATATATTTTTATTGTATAAAATATTAAAATTTAAATATTTATATCATATTTTATATAAAAATTATATATTATAATTTATATTAATATAAAAATATAAAATTTATATTTTTTATTTTATTAAATTTAAATGTAATAATTATTAAAAATTTACATTATATTATTTTAATATTTTATATTATATCATATTTATATAATATTTTAAATTATCATATTTACAGTTATAAAATGATTTATAAAACTTAAAAAGTAGGATATCGCATTAAAATATATTTATCAAAAAATAGATAGGCCAAATTTGCTGGCGGATGGACATTCCCAATTTAAGTCTCCACAAGTAACTCATTCTTTAAAAAATTATTAGAAGTAAAACTCTAACATTAAAAATTCATGCTACTAATTATAGAAAGAAGAATCCGACGGGCTATCTTCCAAATCTTGATGTTGTATCTAATATTCGTGTATAGATATAATATTTATTTCTTATCAAATATATTTAAAATGATAAGTTTAATATAAAATATATTTTTATTTTTATTAAAATTTTAATTTATATTACTTTAATTTTTATATTTTTTTAATAATATTTAAAATTAACAAATTTACCGACTTCTTCGATCGGACAGCATACATATACGCTTCCCACTTTCTACTATTTTTCACTTTCACCCAAAAAAAAAAAAATCTTAAATTTTCTGCAGCCAGAGGTTGGTACTTAATGGTGTTAGTTTCCACTTTCCAATTTCTTGACTTGAAAAATTGCCATCCTACTTCAATTAGGGGACCCAGCGTTCTGTGACTTTTATTTCGGCCCCACATTCGGACTGGCACAAAAACCGAAACAGAAGAAACTCACCATGGTTTCATTGCACTTTCTGACCAAAATATGCTATTTTCTAGTCCACTTATGCCACAACAGGTTAAAAAAACATTGTCCAGTGACTAACATCCAATTCCCCCTTTTCTCCCCCACATGGCGTACCCGGGAACTTTCTCCGACGAACCGTTAACTCCCGCCGGCCGCCTTTTTCTTCAGCCACATACAAACATCATCATCCACTGTATCCTCCGTGGCAGAAACCCCATTGACATAGATGCTGTAAAATCGACTGTTAAGTCTTCCTTGATGATGCAGCATCCCAGATTCTGCAGCCTGCTAGTTCGTGACAAGAACGGGTTTGAGCACTGGAGAAGAACCCAGCTGGACATTGACCAACATATCATCGTCATTAATAACCGGCTCGATAAATCGGGCAATTTCATGGACGAAAGCCAAGGTTTTAGCACTGAAGAAGAAGATGAAGATTACGATGAAGCAGCAGTGAATCAGTACGTAGCGAACTTAACAGTGAGCAGTCCTTTAAGTACGGACAAACCCTTGTGGGAATTACATGTTTTGATGGCGCACAAGTGCTCTGTGTTCAGGATTCATCATGCTCTAGGGGATGGGGTCTCTTTGATGTCCATGTTGATGGCGAGTTGCAGGAGAGTAGATGATGCAGACGCGCTTCCCAGGATGGTTCCCGAGAAGAATGTGGAATTAAAGGGCGGGAAAAGAAGGGATTGCTTTTGGTTGTTTGGTGTCTTCTGGTGGTTTGTGAAGATGGTTTGGTTCACTCTGATGTTTGTGATGGAGTTTACCGTCAAGAGTTTGTTGCTTTGTGACTCGAAAACGGTGATAACAGGTGGTGATGGGGTGGAGCTCTGGCCCAGGAAACTCGCTACTGCTAGGTTCTTGCTTGAGGACATGAAAGTGGTGAAAAAGGCTATTCCCAATACTGTAAGTAACAAAAATATTATTGTTCCATGACTCTGGTTTCTAGGCCTCCACAGATTTCTATTTACTACAGTATTTATGATTTATAACAAAAATCCAGGGCCTAATTTGATACTCAATTATTGTTGAATTGTTGCAAAACCGGATTTATCGGGTGTTTTATGTTGTTTTATTATTTTTTTTTTCAAACTTATTTTCCAATAAAGTCTCTCCAGAAAGTTTCAAGCTAAAATTTCGTATTTGTATTGGGTAGATAAGTTACGTAATGTCTTTATGATATTATTTTAGTAGGTTTTGGGTCTTTCTCGCATTTTGCAGTTGACTTTCATGATTTGCCTCATTATGCTGTCTTCCTAAAAAATTGGAGGACTTGTGAATTGTGAAATATACTAGTATTATTAAAGTCGGCTTAGCTCACTTGGTTACGATTAAACAGATTTGAGATTCGAATCCCATAACCTGCAAGCTTTTCCTTAATCCATATATATATATATATATATATTTATACACTAAGATTATTCTTTTAGATTCAAATTTATTTGCACAATATTTTTTATTAATCTTCAACCAAGCTAGACCTTTCCTGATCTTATGCAAAATATGCAGACCATTAATGATGTCCTTTTAGCTGTGGTGTCATCTGGGCTATCAAGATATTTAGATCACCGAACACCAAATGGTAAAGTTTGTTGGCAAAAAGAAAAAAAAAACCATGACTTACTCTGTCCTACATTTTTAATCAAACACCTGTAATATCTAGATCTGATTTTACTTACAATGTTTGTTGTTAGCCTTGCATGAGGGCCTTCGTATGACAGGGGTAGCTATGGTTAATTTAAGAGCACAACCAGGGTTGCAGGTCAGTTTCAGCTTTCTGTTTTCATATTCCACAGCACTGCTTTTTGGCAATTTTGGATTCCCCCTTTTTAATGCTAGAAAAAAATTTCATGTGGGTTGGCTGGTGATGGCTTTTATTTGTCAGGACCTATCCAAATCAATGAAGGGCAATTCAGAAGCACGATGGGGTAACAAATTTGGTGTAATTCTCGTTCCTGTTTACTATCACAAAGCTGGCAATAATCCTTTGGAGTATTTGAAGAGAGCAAAGACGACAGTTGACATGAAGAAACACTCCCTGGAGGCTTACTTCTCATACAGAATTGGGGATCTTGTGATGTCACTGCTAGGACCAAAGGTGGAGCAAAACAAAACGATAATGAAACCTCATAAAACAGTTACTTTTGATGTTTTTGTCTACTAATTACCTTCTTTGTTTCTATATCATCGGTTTTGCAGTATGCTTCTTTGCTTAATTACAAACTCCTCTGCAATACTACCTTCACAATCTCAAACTTGATTGGCCCTCTAGATGAAGTTACACTTGCAGGCAACCCAATCTCCAGCATTAAGGTCAATACAACCAGCCTACCACAGGTACAACAACCCATCTTGAATTGATGGATTTCTGTAAGTGAAAATTGCTACCAGGTGTGTTGGATCGATGAATTGCATTTAAGATGATGATACTGGTTTTTGTGGTGTTAATTCAGGCTATCACAATGCACGTGTTGAGTTACGCTGGTAGGGCGGAAATGCAAATTATTGTAGCTAAAGACATCATCCCTGACCCAGAGTTTCTGGCTAAATGCTTTGAAGATGCCCTAACTGAAATGAAGGAGGCAGCATTGCGGAACCAATGAAGCATAGAAAAACTTTAATTAATAGGTGTGCAAGATATAATTCATGAAGAATTTTCTTTACAGATCGCATTTATCACATGAAAATTCCAGCGAATCTTTCTCTTTTTGCTTTTTACCTCATTTGCTTTTGAATGTTCTACAAGCTCTGTTTTGCTCGCATTTCTCCTTACAACGTACAAAGTTCACCGCAAATTCGATATACCATAGTCTCTGTTCAGTTCTTATACAGAACATAACCAGGAAAAAAAAAAAAGACATGTTACTTTCCTCTTGGGTTTTTCTTATAGATCAAAATAAAACCTTTTAATTAACCTAAAAGACTGTTTTCTATAGTGCGTAGTGGGATGGTAACATGTGATTTAGTACCTTAATTATCACTTTTTATAATTATATACATATATATAATTTATAATTAAATAATTTTAATTTATTTTCATCAAACATTTTATTTTACAACCAATAATATCATGATATGTGACATTTTTATTAATTAATATTTGTCGTGTTCATATTTTAATTAATAGTATTAATCAAAGATGTAAAATAATTAACAAAAACAAAGTTCAATATCTAATCATGATTTTTTTTTATAAATATTAAATCGTAAAAAATAATGTAATTCAAAAATCAAATTACATATTAATTCTTAAAAAAATATAACCAACGTTTTCAAAAATTGACATGACTTGTGAGAGAAAAAAAAAAAGGTTAATGGAGCAAATATGGCAAATTGTAGCAAAGATAAAATTAGAATGTTGATTAGCTGCAATTAAGGCGGGGTAGTAGACTTCAAATCATTGATGTATTATTGGGTTTACCCTTATCCAAATTTTTTTTTTTTTAAATTTCCAAAGTATAAATTAATAAATATTTATATTTAATATTTTTTAAAAATAATTATTATAAATTTTTAAAAAATAATATTTCTTCTTAATTAAAAAATTTTTAAATAATAAAATTTTTAAATTTCATAAATTAAATTAAAAACTAAAATAAAAATTATAAACCACCCAATCTAAAGCTATACATTACATTACAAATTAATTAGCAGTGATTCAAAAAGTGGTCATTACTTATTAACATTCGATAATGATGCGGGGAACTCTTTTGTTTAAAAAAAGAAAAAAGTAAAAATCGTGACAAAATATAAATATTTATGGTCGTGGTTATGTCATGTTTGGTTGGGCGCCTTATCTCTTATTCTTCACAAGCAAAAATAAAGTCTTGCAGTTGATGCGGTTCGTTAGACTCCACAAACGACGGATAGCAAAGCAACATGAAGGTGGGATTGGTGGGAGTGGTTCACAGAACTCCTTGTCCTACTTCACTCCCTCTCCGCCACGTTAGAACCAGGGTTTCATGTTCTTCTTCCTCTGGTAAATCATAACTTCATCATCCTTTTTCATCTCTTCTTTTATTTGCATCCCATCTCAACTTTAATTCAGCCCCTCTAACATGATAATGCTAAAGCTATTCCATATTCTTATGTCGGTTTTTTTTTTTTCGTCTAGAAAATGTGTTCATTGTACTTTATTTCATCAGTTAACTTCTGGGTTTATATATGCAAGTAATTGAGATTAGCTAATTCTTGTATGTGAAGCAAGTGTTTGAATGTTTATGTCCCACTGTTAATCACAAATCAGTTAGATTCGCGGGTTGTTGGATTGAAGATAAAAATTTTGAAATTGAATTGGTTTGGGTAAAATGGATGTGAAGTGCTGGCAAAGTGTAGCTTGTTTGTTGGAAATGTGAAGTCGTTGGTGGTTTAGTTTTTCTTTCAAATTATTCTTAGGCATGTTGAACTTGGCAACTTAAAGCCTTTAGTGAACCAAATGCAGGCCATATATCATTCATTAAAGATGTAGCTGCCACTCAACCACCTGAGAATCTTCATCACTTGCTTAAAATGCTTCAAACTAGAGGTACGCAGCAGTTAACCTACTCATTACTACGTTTATTAGTAAGGTTTCTGCAATGTATGATTCAATAATTTCTTAATGTAATTCATATTTCGTGCTCTTGCTAAAGTTTAAACCATTAATTCATTGATTACATGGTATATTCTAGGACAACAGTGTTGGTCTTTGTTGCTGGATGGGTGTAAAAGTTGATGATCTTAAGGCCTTTTTCTTTTTTCTTTTTTTTTTATTTTCACTAATACAAAACTCATACTAGATGAATTCATGAATAATGATTAATCTTGACATATTTTCCAGGCTGACAACATATCGTTGATTTTTGGTAAATCACATGGTAACATTATAGTATTTCTTGTCAAATGCTTCTTAATATAGGAGACGCAAACTCTATCTGCAATGTGCATCTCCTGCAGATTGGTTATCTTATCATGTTCACTAACAAACTGATTGCTTTTGTGTGATCTACCATTTTGATCCTCATTAATTGGGGGTATTAGAAGTCTCAAGTTTCTGAAAATGTTTGTCAGGGTAACCTGTTACAAAATGCTTGGTAATTGTATCTTTGGTTACTTCTTTTAAGAGATTTCTCAATGGGTTTTAGATTCAATCTTGCTTTTACATATTATTCTATCTCTAAATTCAGTAACAAGGAGATGGACAAGAACTGATGTTGAGTCCACAACATATATTCCTGAAAATAGAAAAAGCTTCTTCTTATTTCCACATGTATGGCACTTGAACTCTTGTCATCTTCCATTTGCTCTGTACACAGGTGAAACCATACTTTCTCCAGGATCAAGGCATGGGTTAATCCCCCTTGCCATTCCTCTTTCAGAAAATTTTTCAGGTTGGTTAAGATTTTTCAAATTTTATGTAAAATATTTGTCAATTCTCAGTATTTTTATTTTGTAAGTGGAGATATATATAAATGCTATTCCTTGGGAATAGGTGATGTAACTGCTTTGCTGCGGTGGCCAACAGCTCCACCAGGGTAAGAGACTTGAATTGTTGTGTTGTTTTATTTGACTTCTGTCTTAAATACATATATATAGCTAAGCTTTCTTTGCCTTGATTTATCTTCATGTAACTGTTGCTTTTCACACAGAATGGACATGCCAATTGTGGAAGTTCGCAAGCACGGGGTGTGGCTTTTAGCCAACAATGTAATACATTAAGCTGAAAAGCATGAATTAAAACTGAATGGGCTATAATTGATACTGAATTACCCGGCATCTTGGAATTTCCACTTCCTTGTTGGATTGATAAGTAGGAGTTGAACAAGTAGTACATAGCTCAGAAAACTTTTTCTCAAAACTCATACTCATTTGTTGACTAAGTGACTCATTATTTCCAGCTTTTGCAAAGCAGGTAGATCAATATATTCATCGAATCCTAGTTGAAGAAGATGCCAACGAATTACATGGAAGTAATGGTGAATTATTTCTTGCTTCATCTGAGGCTGGCAAGAAACTCTATAATAGGGGTGATTTTGCTGAATCGCAGATCTCTAATCTTGATGCATATCTCTTAAAAAAGGTGCATGAGACAGCTTATGAAAGGGTCCTAAGTCAAAAAAAGTCAGTTCTCCAAGTTCAGTATTCACAATAAGATGATTGATGCCGGCAAGTTATTGTTCTGCCTTCAGGTTGGACTGTTTCCAGATTTGTTGGAGCGTAAAGTTTTGCGACATTTTGAGGAAGGGGATCAAGTAAGAATTGTCTAGTTTCCATCCTTAATATCAGATTTTATAATTTTGTGGTCATGCTAATCTTTTTTTCTTCCCTTTTTGACAACTATGGGATTGGAAGGTTTCAGCTTTGGTGACAGGGGAATTCTATACAAAGAAGGACCTCTTTCCAGGATTTGGAAGGCCTTTTGTATTTAATGCAGAGATTTTACTTAAGTTAGTACAAAGATTTTATAGTTACATGTTTAATATTCTGATATTTACTGTGCTTCACTCGTTTTAAAAAGGATTTTGTAAATCCTTAAAATGTAGAGTAGGGCGCACATCAGAAGCAAAAGATTCTGCAAGGGTGGCTTTGAAATCACCATGGTGGACTTTAGGTTGTGCATATCAGGCAAGGAAATTTTCTTGATCATCAACATATTCTTTTGAGATTTAATCTGTCACCCTTCTTTTGACATTCTCTTCCATGGATGTCCTATGATTAGGATGTAGCCGGCATTGCACAATGGGATGATGAGCAAATTGAATACGTCAAAGAGAAGGTGACTGAAGAAGGTAGACGAGAAGACTTGAAGAAAGGGAAGGCCCCTGCCCAGGTAACATTGTGGCACAATAATGTTATACAAAATTTTAACCATTGATACAAGGAAAAACACTTGTATGGGCTAAATCCCCCTCTGCAGGTTGCATTAGATGAGGCTGCTTTTCTGTTGGATTTAGCTTCTATTGAGGGAAACTGGTGTGACCATCTGGACCGCATTGCAAAATGTTACAAAGAAGCTGGTCTCAATGAAATTGCAAATTTTATTTTGTCTAGAGATTGACGAGAAACCGATGGTCGAGAAATTGCCAAATTTTGAATGACTATTCAGATATGGAGGAATAAATTTTTTCATTTATTTTTTGAGAAACACGTTGTTGTATAGAGAGATTGGGAAAGCATCAATTGAAACTTGATAGATTGACTTTGAGAAAGGTATTGCTTTCTGACTCGCTTATGACTTGCTCAATTGGCTTGCTATAGCAGGTATCCTGGTAAAAGAAAATTTATGATCAAATCTCACAAATGATATTACACTGGTTAAAGCCACTAAATCAAACTGTAGTTATTGTGGTTTTCCAAACGACCTCCAACCCAGAAATATGCATTAGCCATATTAGGATACTATACACATCTCTCTCTCTCTCTCTCTCTCTCTCTCTCTCACACACACACACACACACACACACACACACTTTCTAGCCTTCATTATGAGTTGCAAAAGGACTACAAGCTCTCACCATTCTCAGTAATTAAGGTGGAAAAATCAAACAAAAAAAAAAACCAATTGCCACATTATGAAAACTACCTGCATGAATTTCCTTCAGTGGCCATGACTTCACTCCCTGTTACCAGGGAATTTTCTCCGAGCCTCTTCACCTTTTACAGTCACTAGTCAGTCTTTTGGTGAAGAGATTTCTTACTGCAACCTTTCTTCCTTCTCAATAGCAGCCTCTTTAGCAAACCAACTCCTTGCTTCTTGCTTGGCACAATAGCCAAAGCCAAAACTTCAGTGTTAGTACTTTCATTCTTGGAACTAAGATGTGCTTCTGAAGTATGTAACAGCAAACCTGAAGCTTGCAAGTTATTGTGTTTATTGGAGTGAGGAAGGGATGAATCCTCTACTTCTTCAACCGTTGAAGTTCCTTGAATATTGGGCAACTTGAGAACATCTGCTTTAGCAGCATCGTCAGCAAGCATTCGATCATGCAACGAGAAGCGTTTGTTTACCCTTCTGTTATTTATCACAGTGGTGGCAGCACCACTGTTGGAGAAAACCTTGTCAAAGAGTGCTGCATCTTGTGGTGAGGCCAGCACCTTTAATTGCTTACCTAGGTTCAGAATTGTTTCTTGGCACTCTGCCAACTTGACTGAAGCTGCTGTAATTTCCCAACCCTGTATGTCGCAAAAGCAGACATAGTATCAGTGCTTGATATCTGTTTTCCATTTTCAATTGCATTTGCCAGATCATGTGTTTACAGAAGGTTCAACATCAATATAATACAAAACCATTATTGGAAATAGAAAGAATGGAATTTGACATGATCTTACTGCCAATATATCAGATAACATTACGATAACCTATCAAACATAAAAGCTACATATCAGAAAAATACCAAATAACAAATCAAGTATATAGATTCTGAGATTTCCATATTGACAAAATAAATAGATTAGATTCTACAAAACTACTTGGTTCAAATCCTGAAGCATGATGTTACCATTCTGAGCAGAATATAATCAAGTTTTAGTAATTCAGGCATGTAGCAAACTGTCTTTTCCAAAAAGAGGAATATAGGCAAAACTGTGAATTACTTACATTTTGAGACTGCTTCCCCTCTCGATTCATGACATACTTCGGTGTTTCTTTCTTTGCCACACTGTGAGTTTATGTTTCAGAAATCAGAATTACCTTGACAAGTTCCTTTAGTATTCACAGGAAGTAAAACTAAGAAACAAAATTTTACCTCTCTAACTGGAGTTGAAGCTCAAGACATGTAGCTTCTAGCTCTTCACAACAGTTATTTTTGTACTCCAGCTCAACTTCCAAAGATGAGCACTTCTGGAAGATTTCATTCAGTTTAGATTTGGCAACTGTGAGCTGGGTATCAAGATCTTCATTAATTGATTTCTGATTTTCAACCTGATCCTCAATCAATTCGTTTGATTCTTTTAAAATCTTAAGTTCTGTTTGTAAGCTTCCAATGCTTTTTTCTGATTCATGAAGTTGTACCGTCAAGGCCTCAATCTTGTCAGTTGCTGATTCGAGCCTGGCTTCCATATTCTTCAAATCATCTTTTAATCTCTTGTTTTCTTCTTCCAGGCTACACCAAATACTGTCCTTTCGGGAGATAACACTGTGATTCTGGTCATGCGAAGAAGTAAAGGAGTCTAAGCATGATGTTTGTTCTTCAGGAATATGGATCACATCTGATTCCACTGCTAAACCATGGCCTCCAGAACCAACTTCTTTTTCACTTTGTGATTCACTCCAACCAAAATGCCTTTTGATCTTATCCCTTGCACTCGAAGCTTCCTTAGGAGTAACACAATTGTTCACAATCCAATCCAAAGCAAATGAGAGTTCTCCAGCAAAATTTTCAAGATCAGCCCTTTTATTCAACAGATCATTGCATGTACGAAGAAATTGTTGCAGAACAGTGCTTAATTCAGAACTTTTCCATTGAAAAACACGGATAAAGTAGTCTGCATGAGCTGGTGACTGTTTGGGAATTTGATTTCTTTCTAGACAACTGCCAGGGGTTTTGCAAGATGTTAGGCCAATTCCTTCAATCAGCTCAATGATTTTACAGATCGACTTGCTCAGATTAGATTGAAACTGTTGCTTTGTTTTTTCGGCTGAGGTCTCAACAGTAGAAGCTCCACAGAGTGAACCTAGGGTAGGAGAAGTGTTTGGAGATTTCCAGGCTATGTAGCCGCTGATATGGAGAAGATCTGATTCCATGGGATGCATTGAACATGCAGTTTTATTAACATCATGGGCATTTAAAAGATTGCTACAACACAAAGCAATTTTGATGTCCTCAAGAATTTCATCTTTACTTCGGTTGGAAATTCGTTTGTGCTCAGAGATAGCATGCAAAACAACCTGAAGCCAATCAAATGATCTTTCAGCTGCTACATCTCTTGAGTGCATCTTTTTTGTGTTGCTGAAGCCACAGTGACCCTGCCCAAATGGAATCAATTCCCCTCCATCTGACACTGGATTATATCCACCTCCAGAAACCAAGGCTAATTTTTCCATCTCTAGAAAGTCGTCCATTAATCTTATTTCTGGAACTGTAATGGCCTTGTGTTGCATTGAATCCCTAAATCTTCTGTCTACAGACTGTGCAGATTCGGAAATCAAAGCATTAGCCCATGAACAAGAAGAGCTATTTCCATCAATACTACCAATATCAAAACCTGATGTTAGAGATAGTTCACTTGATATTAGACTACTCCTTACCAGCTCCATGGAGTTCTGACCTTTAAACAGCTCTTTAGGCTGAATCTCAAACCGCGTTGGCCTGGATGATGTTTGAGAACATACTAAACTTGATGACTGGATTTGAGCATTCTTCTCGGTCATTATTTCTTTGAGTGTCCTGTTCTCTTCTTCTACATTGCGTAATTGTTCTAACAGGAGATTGGTATTCTTGGTAGGATTTTCAGGAGAATTTTCTGCAGTGGAGTCTTTGACAATCAAATCTTTAGTGGGATTCAGCTTTCTTCTTCTCATCTCTGTCTTGTCCCTTCCCAACATTTCAACTTCATTCTTCATTTTCACCACCGCAGCAGGACCTGGAAGCCTCTTTTGCAGAAGGAGGCGAAACTTCTGGCATTCAGCTTCCAACTTGGCAATTTTCTTTACACCGTCCAGATGTTGTTTATGTGCTAAATCAGCTGATCGACGGTTGTATTCCATCTCTTCATTTTGGATCTCAAGCTCCTTCTCCAGAACATGAAACTCATATTTCAAAAATGAATTCTCTTTTTCTGTTAAATCTAATCGAACCATTAGTGCACCAAACTCTTCTTCTGTCTGGAACTTTTGCTTCTGCTGATCCTCAATCAATTTTTCTTTGACTAGCAGGGCCTTACTCAGATGAGAATTTTCAATGGCCAACTCTTCAACCCTTCTGTTTGTCTCTGTCAGCTTATCTTGTAATGCTTTCTGTGCTTTCTGAAATTCACTTGATGTCTTCATGACAGCATCACGTATCCTCTGCTCCTGCTCTTCTCGAACAAAATTTAGCTGTTGCATACATTCATTCAATACAGCATCTGAGTGAGTTAACTTTTCATTTGCCAATTTTTCCTGCCTCAAAGCTTCATCTAGCTCTGTCTTCAGAAAGATTGCATCAGCTTCTGCCTTTTCCCAACCTAAAAGTAAAACATCTATTTAATAGATCGTAGCCAAACTGCCAAAGCAAAGTGCACGCGTCTTGGTCTTCCACTGATACTGTGACAGTTAGGGGAAGCCTTTTGAGCAGAGGAACATAGAAGGAGCAAGGATAAAAGTAAATCACCTGCATTGGCTTCAGGTGCCATTTTCATATTTTTTGTCACCAGATCATCCTTGGCATGACAATCAAGGAGGACTGAAGCAAGCTTCTCATTTAAATTTTTCACTATTCTATCTCGCCCTTCCATTTGAAGCATTTGCACCTAGTGTCAAAAATATTGATCCTTGAGTGATTAGATCATATACCAGGATCATAAACATAAACATCTCCAACAAGATATCAGGAAACGATGGGAAAAAAAAAGGAAAAGAAAAATGTGCAAGACAGCAAAGGTTTTGGTTACCTCTTCATCGATTCGTTTCAAAGAAATGTCAACCTTGTCTGTAGCAACAATTGTCTTCTCAGAAGATTTTTTCCTCCAAAGCCATGTTTTATGGTCCATGACCTTAATCTCTATTTCAGAAGAAAAGAACAAAAGGAGAATTATAATGTTATCAACTTAAAGCAGTAGTACAATAAGCTGTTGAAAGATCAAGCTGGCATCTAAAGTCAGCAATCTATATAAACTGCAGAAATTAAGCTAACTACCGAAAGAAACAGTCTTTGTCATCTAGATTTTAGTTGAAGTCAAATAGAAAGAGACAGCTCATTATGTTCTGCTCAAAACTACACATTCCTACTACAATTTGGTAAACTACAGGAACTAATGCATCATCTCATCAAATACAAAGTACTAACGCATAAAGCTAGAGCTTAACTCGGTTCATGCAACCAAGTACCTGCCACCCCTTCCCCTATTCTCAAGATGTGGCCTCTTTTGTTAAAAAAGAAAAAAAAAGTACTCTCATTAACGCATTATGAACAATTTTCTTCCTCTAATAGAATTATAATATAAAGTGTGAAAGTAATGTAAGGCGACTGTGATTTCCTCAAACATGCACATGATAAGGAAATATTCAGAATCTTGTGTACCTGGATGTGAAAGTAAAGAAATCATAAACATTCATAAACACGGCCAGAACAAACACTAAGGAGGATTTGACAAAATCCAAGCATTAATCCCAGATATGTACTTAATACGGTATTTCACAAAACACAGGTAGTTGCAAAACAAATCAATCATTATTACAGCATTAAAAAGGGGATTGTCTGCATCTCTAAGAGATGCATGTCTTCAATTAGGGATTAATCACCTGAACCAGGGAGTGCCAAATTCAACATATAACACGACAAATAGCAGTTCACAAGCAGAATATGGGTTGGGGACAAGACAGATGCTAAAAGGACAAACATTCATTGGCAACTAAGAAATGCTCTTCTTGCTATTAAAAGAAGATTTGATAAAATTTTGTACTAAAGAGTGCAGTAAATGTGCCAGAACATGCATCCTATCGAGAATGAACTAATTCACTGCCTCAAAGAAAGTTTATCGGAATATCAATGCTCTAAATCAAGGCAGAAAAAGAAAAAAAAAAAAAGAGTAAGTAAAACTGATGATGCTAAGTTTTGCCATGTAAACAATCAACTTAGTCTGAAAGCGACTCTGGTTTATTATCAAGGCACTATCAAAATCTCGACATGACACAGCAATGTCATGCACTATCATAAACGAATCCAACTTAAAGCAAAACTGAGAGCTTTAAAAAGGGGGAAAACTATAAAAAAACATGTAAAGAAGAGAGGTAGTTGAATAGCTTAATTCACCTATGTTTGTGCAAAGAATCAAGTTGTTTAACAACAGCTATAGCTTTAATACCCAACCACCATTTATAGCAGGAGAATTGCAGAGAGAATCAAGAAAATGAAGGAACTGATCACATTGAAGTGAAAGAGAAATTATTGTAGCTTAAATTACAAAACACATAAAACCCAGGAATTCTGACAATAGAGAGATTACGTTGGCTCGTAAAAGGACATCGGATGCTACTATCCACCGACAACCCACCAAAGTTACTTATAACAAATGTTGACAGCAACAATAATTGAGGAGGAAAAAGCAATAAAAAAGAAACGACGAAATATGGTGAAAGAGAATCATAAAGAGACGAGCGGTGATAAAGGGAGAAAATGAAGGGGGAAAGGGGTAGAAAATGTTTGCATGATCAAATCAGTGGATAGAGTCCAACTAAAGAAGAAAGTGCCATTAAAATGGTCGTTTTCATGCAGTGGGTTCTTGGATTTTCATGAAAAGGTGCTGTCACGCGCTAGATGGGGTTTTGGATGACACTGCTTAGCCGTTAGAGACAGTTGGGTTTGTTGGCTCTGAGCTGGGTGGCAATCACGCTCGTGGAAGGGGGTCGAATGGGGTGTCATAATGAAATTCGAGGAAGAATGATGATGTTGGGTAAGATTATTTATTTATTTACTTGTTTTGACTTTATTGAAAGTTCAATTTCGTCCTGCTGTTCTTGTCTTTTACTTGGTTCTGATTTTGCTATTCATTTTCAATATATAAAATAAGAGGAGAAATTAATGGTTGATACAAATATAAAAATATCAATCAAATTTGATTTGATATGTAATTTTTTTTACGTTAATGTTCAAATTTGATTTTTCTAATAAATAAATTATATTTATAATTTTTAAATTTTAAATCACATATAATTTTAATTATAAAATTTTAAAAATAACATATTAATTCATATATTTTTAATATTATAATTGAATGGTCCTCCTAATTTAATCATGCCTTCAAGATGAAATTACATGGGTTGTCTCACACGGGATTAATCATTTATTAAAAAAATTAAATTTATATGAATTTCAATAAAAATTTATAATAAATTGATAAATTAACCATTAAAAGAGATTAATAACTGTTAAACTCAAATCTAAACTTAGCATCGAAGTAACTCGACCAAACCTTGCTGACTGCTCTCTTGATATAAACTACAAGTTTTGATATAATATAAAATTGAATTCAATTAAAAAAAACGAATTTTTTTTTTTAAATGACGGGTTTATGATTCTAAAGTAGAAATGAATGAGCAGACAATAAGAATCTTCCACGTAAAGAGGATTTCCTGCCTCCGAGTAGCCGAGGTACCTCTCAATATAAATTGAACACCAAAGTGCGAGGGGCAAACTCGGAAGGACAATTTTGAAGGAGCTCATCTCAAACCGCCTCGACCATCGTCGACACCAACAAAATAATAATAATAATAATAATAATAAAGTATAAAATCCCACAAGACTCAACCGACTCGGTCCCTCTCGTACAAACTCACTGAGCCAACTCAACACGATGGAGATCGCCCCAGCGGCTCCGCCTTCTGCTCCTCTTGGCGGTGAAAACTTCACTTCCTCCACAGATGTCATTATTGCAGACAGCATGAGGTCGTCGCCATCAACATCGTCCACATCGTCAGATAAGGAAGCAAAAGCGACGTCATCAACGGCGTCATCGGTGTCGTTGCGGACGGCGGCTACGGAAAAGTATGATGCGGAGATGGATGAGGAAGAAGAAGAGGAAGACGTTTGCAGGATCTGCCGGAACCCGGGAGATACGGAGAATCCGCTTCGATACCCTTGCGCATGTAGCGGCAGCATCAAATTTGTTCACCAGGATTGCCTTCTTCAGTGGCTCAATCACAGTAATGCTCGCCAATGCGAGGTTAGGGTTTTTTTAATTATTTCTGGTAAGAATGATAGGTATTTTCATAAATTTGGTTAATTTCAGTTAGGGTTTTATTTTTATTTTTAATTATATTTCTTGATTTGGTGTTTGAAGTAGGTGTTACTCTTGAATGATTAACAATGGTCATTACGAAATGAGGACAAATTTGGGCTTTTCTGTTAATTCTTTTTTTGATTATTGTTTTTATCAAAGAATGTCATTAAAGTTGCAAACCTTGAGAGCTTTCCATTGCTGGAGTCTTGAAAATTTGGAAAGAACAACTTTTTTTTGTGTTGGAGGTGCCAAGCTATGTCTCCAACACGATGCTATTTACAGTTATATGGGGTGAAACACATGGTTTTATGATGATTTTCATGGGTTTCGAATGATTGGAGATGTCATTAGCTACAACTAACTTCTTTATGTTTGAATGAATACCGGTGGATATAATAATTCTTGTGAAGCAGTCTATCTTCAATTTTGTTTCTAAAAAATTACCAACACGTGATTGAAGACACAAACTTAATGCTGTTAGAGATTAGCCTTGAACTTTAGGTTTTGAATGCTAAAAGGTTATGCATAAGGTACAAGTGTTGCTTCCATATTAGTACCACATTGCAAAACCGTGTGAATGGAGTTTATAGCTTTTGAAGTTTTGCCTTTTGTGGCAGTTAGCAGCTCTAAAATACTTTCTGTTTCCATGTTGTAACCATGGCCTCTCATCAATTCATATTTTTCTATGGCATTTCATAATAGTGGCATGTGTCAGCTCGTTATCTACCTCCTCCTCTGTCTGTTTATCTGTTAATATCTCTGCCTCTCTCCCTCTCCTCATTCTATTTTCCTTTAAACTTATGCTTTAAAAGATTGATTTTCTGGGTGGTTCTCTCTCTCATTATTTAAATGTTTTTATGCTTAAAAGGTAGATTTGCTGTGTGATTTTAATGCTTTTAGTGTACTTGGCTTTTCTTTGCAGGTTTGCAAGCATGCATTTTCTTTCTCCCCTGTGTATGCTGAGAATGCTCCAGCAAGGCTTCCTTTTCAGGAGTTTGTTGTTGGGATGGCAATGAAAGCTTGTCATGTTCTGCAGTTCTTTTTGCGCCTTAGTTTTGTACTTTCTGTTTGGCTCCTTATTATACCTTTCATTACCTTTTGGATATGGCGGTTGGCATTCATCAGGAGTTTTGGTGAAGCTCAGAGATTATTCTTAAGCCATATTTCAACCACAATCATTCTTACTGATTGTTTGCATGGGTTCCTACTTTCTGCTAGTATTGTGTTTATTTTTCTTGGAGCCACTTCTTTGAGGGATTATTTCCGGCATTTGCGAGAGCTTGGAGGACAAGATGCTGAGAGAGAAGATGAAAGGGATAGGAATGTTGCTCGTGCTGCTAGGCGACCTCCTGGACAAGCTAATAGGAATTTTGCTGCTGATGGTAATGTTGAAGATGCTGGTGGAGCACAAGGTATTGGAGGAGCTGGTCAAATGATCAGAAGGAATGCTGAAAATGTGGCTGCTCGTTGGGAAATTCAGGCAGCTCGTCTTGAAGCTCATGTCGAACAGATGTTTGATGGCCTGGATGATGCTGATGGGGCCGAGGATGTACCTTTTGATGAGCTTGTTGGCATGCAGGGTCCTGTTTTCCATTTGGTTGAGAATGCATTCACTGTAAGTCACTTTGGTTGTTTCAGTTTTACTATCTATGCTTAACTTCTAATTGATATTCTCTTACCAATCTTATTTAGGTGCTTGCCTTACCTTTTTGTTAAGGATTTTCTTGGGAACCTTTAGGTGCTGAGACTAGCTTATCAACATGTCTTCCTCAAAACAAAGAGTGATTTGTGTGCTTGTCTTTGTGTGTATGTTTTGAGTGGCATAGCAGAATTATAGTTTAGGATTTTGTTGTGTCAAACAAACTTGAGTATTTTTTTCAGCTGTTTCCTTGGTTGGAAGAATGGTTGTTTGTTTTGTTATGCTTTTAATGGAGGAACTTTCTCCATGTATCATCTGCCTTGTTAGAGAGTGCAATTCTTGCCTCTCTTATTGTTCCTTTAAATGTTTCCCCTTCAAATTTACAGACATTAGATGGCAGTGTATGGTTTTATAATTTTATGCATGACTCTGGCTCTATTATAATCTTGTAATTCTATTGTTGTTGCTTTTTGTAATACTACTTTGAACTGCATGATGTCAGCTAGGCACTCTGGATCTCCACTAGATCTCCAATATGTCTAGAATTTGCTCACTTGTCGGCATATGCTAATGCTATTTTTTCTTTTAACCTTTTCTTGTTTTAGAGCTTTAAATTGCGACGATCTGCAATAGCGTAGATACTCAGAAAAGAAACAAAATGCAAACTTTTAGTCTTTTTCCCTGGTTAGCACGATATTCTTTCATGACTTGGTGTTCATTTCTGCAGGTTCTAGCAAGCAATATGATATTCCTTGGTGTTGTTATTTTTGTGCCTTTTTCTCTAGGCCGTATTATTCTTTATTATGTATCTTGGCTTTTCTCTTCTGCAAGTGGTCCTATGCTGTCGGCAGTCATGCCGCCACTGACAGATACTGCCCTTTCCTTAGCAAACATCACATTGAAGAATGCATTAACTGCTGTTGCCAATTTGACATCTGAGGGCCGAGAAAATGGCATGCTTGGCCAGGTTGCAGAAATGTTGAAAGCAAACTCTAGTGCAATAGGTGAAGTTTCAAGCAACACAAGCTCATTTTCAGCCGATCTCTTGAAGGGAGCAACTAGTGGAGCATCAAGGCTGTCTGATGTTACAACTCTTGCTATTGGATACATGTTTATATTCTCCCTAGTCTTCTTCTACCTGGGTATTGTCACTTTGATTAGGTACACTAGGGGTGAGCCTTTGACAATGGGGAGGTTCTCTGGAATTGCTTCAATAGCCGAGACAATTCCATCCCTGTTCAGGCAGTTCTTGGCAGCAATGAGGCATTTGATGACAATGATTAAAGTTGCTTTCCTGCTTGTGATTGAGCTTGGGGTGTTTCCTTTGATGTGTGGTTGGTGGCTAGATGTATGTACAATAAGGATGTTTGGGAAATCAATGTCTTTAAGGGTTCAGTTCTTCTCAGTTTCACCTTTAGCAAGTTCATTGGTTCATTGGGTTGTAGGAATTGTTTACATGCTACAAATAAGTATCTTTGTCAGCCTTCTCCGAGGGGTAATCCTCTTTTCAATCCTTGATACGAGTGTTAATTTGGAGGCTGTTATCATATTGTAGGATGAATCTGATAATATCTTTCTTGTTATGGGCAGGTTTTACGTAATGGAGTTCTATACTTCCTTCGAGACCCAGCTGATCCAAACTACAATCCTTTCCGTGATTTGATCGATGATCCTGTACACAAGCATGCTCGGAGGGTCTTGTTATCTGTTGCAGTTTATGGGAGTTTAATTGTGATGCTAGTATTTTTGCCAGTCAAGCTTGCTATGAGGATGGCACCTTCTATTTTCCCACTTGATATATCGTAAGATTGTCCCATACCTTTTTCTCTTTCCTTCACTTATGTATACTTCTTGTTAGCTTACATTTAAATGATTTGCTTGTTGCAGGGTATCCGATCCATTTACTGAGATTCCTGCTGACATGCTTCTCTTTCAAATATGCATTCCCTTTGCTATTGAGCATTTTAAATTGCGGACAACAATCAAGTC